CCTGGAGGGTGTGGGGGGCCCCCAAAGGGTACAGAGACGCAGAGGAGAGATTGTGATAGAGGAGGAGACAGATAGCCTGCCGAGGCTGACGCAGTTCTCCCCCGTTCTGAAAGAAGTGATGACGCGGGAGCTGCAGCAAAAGGAGACAGGTGGGAGGAGACAGGTGGAGGAGACAGTTGAAGGAGACAGTTGGAGAGAGGGGATAGAAAAGGAGACAGAAAAAGAAAAAGAAAAATTAAAAAAAAACCCAAAAGATATAGATGCTTGTTATAGATTAGGGGTTTTATTATTTAGGAGGGGAGATGCTGCTGCTGCTATAGATATTATAAAACAGTTTATATACACCAACACAAACCCTAAACCACAAACCCTAAACCCTCATACACCACACACAGATACACAAGCCCCCACAGACAAACACACACAGCCACCAGCAGCAGCAGCAGCAGCAGCTGCAGCAGCAGAAGCAGACACAGAAGCAGCAGAAGCAGCAGCAACAACTGCAGCAGCAGCAACTGACACTGCAGCAACAACTGCAGCACCAAAAGGAGACAGAGACAGCTCCGGTCCCTCTGGGGGGGGGCCCCAGCAGGCTGCTGAATCACCTCCGAGCGCAGCAGCAGCAGCAGCAGCAGCAGCAGCAGCAGCAGCAGCAGCAGCAGCAGCAACAGAAGCAGCAGCAGCAGCAACAGGAGCAGCAGCAGCAGCAGCAGCAGAAAAAGAAAAAGGAGATGTTTCTGTCTCAGCATCTGCTGGGGGTTCAAACCCCTCCCCTAAAGAAGAGAAAGGGGGGGCCCCTGCTGCTGTGCCTCTGGGGGGCCCCCAACCAGGGGGGCCCCCCGATAGTACTTATGTTTCTTCCTCTGTCTGTGGAGACAGCAGAGAAGGAGACAGCAGCATAAACCCTCACCAGGAGGGTACGGCGGTGACGGGGGGGCCCCCTGACACCCCTCATACCCCTGGGGGGCCCCATACAACCGGGGGGCCCCCACATAACCCTGATGGGGGGCCCCCACAGACAACAGGGGGCCCCGCAGAGACAGCTGAGGGGGGCCCCTCTAAGACAGATGAGGGGGGCCCCCCAGAGACAACAGGGGGCCCCCCCGCGACAGCAGGGGGGCCCCCCGAGACAGCCGGGGGGGCCCCCGAGACAGCCGGGGGGCCCCCAGAGACAGCAGGGGGGCCCCCAGAGACAGCAGGGGGGCCCCCTGTTGTATGCAGTTTGTCTGCGTTGAGTGGGGTGATATACAGCGGGCGGCAACACGCAAGGAGAAGGTACGAGGAAGAAGAGGAGGGTTTGGGGGCCCCCCAGTTTGTGTGTTTAGAGAAGCTGCTGGGGCACTTGTACTTTGAAGAGGGAGAATTCTATGAAGCTATCAAAAGATATTGGAGGTTAGGGTTTAGGGTTTAGGGTTTAGGGTTTAGGGTTTAGGGGTTGGGGGTTGGGGTTTAGGGTTTGGGGGTTGGGGGTTGGGGGTTCGGGGTTGGGGTTTAGAGGGCAGGGGATAAGGAGAAACGAGGGGGACGGGAGGAGGGTTTTGATCGGGGTGTGGGGAGCTGTGTAGGGTTTAGGGTTTAGGGTTTAGGGTTTAGGGTTTGGGGTTTAGGTGTTGTGGGGGCTGGTGGGTCAGCTGTGCAGTGCAGCGGATTTAGGGTTTGTGTTGCTTGTTGGTGTTTGTATATATGCTGTAAACCCTAAACCCTAAACCCTAAACCCTAAACCCTAGTTTTTTGTGTGTTGCTTCAGAGCCATCGATATTAACCCTAAAGACGCGCAGATGTTCAGCTCCCTTGGGCTTGCTTACTATGAGGTACATAAACCCTAAACCCTAAACCCTAAACCCTAAACCCTCATGCCGCCGCCACAAGAAACAAACACACGGAGGACAAACAAGAGCGGTTGCTTGATACCACATAACTGGTTTTGGGTTTAGGGTTTAGGGTTCAGGGTTTAGGGTTTAGGGTTTAGGGTTTAGGGTTTAGGGTTTTGTTGTGTGTGAAGATCGAAGAGCTGGATAAAGCGGAAGCGGCATTCGAGCACTGCATCAAGCTGGACGAGAAGTGAGGGTTTAGGGTTTAGGGTTTAGGGTTTAGGGTTTGGGTTTAGGGTTTAGGGTTTAGGGTTTGGGTTTAGGGTTTAGGGTTTAGGTATAGGGTTTAGGGTTTAGGTATAGGGTTTAGGGTTTAGGGTTTAGAAGGCACTTTGTATGCTTGCATAAGACGGTGTGTTGCGTCTAAGCCGATCTACACCCCCCAAACCCTAAACCCTAAACCCTAAACCCTAAACCCTAAACCCTCGTTTGTGTGTGTCTCAGCAACACCACCGCGTTGAGTGTACTGGCGATGCTGCTGCTGGATAAATCAGCAGAAGAAGATGAAAAGAGGTTTATGGAGCAACCACATAAATACGGGGGTTTGTCATTTCTAGGGTTTAGGGTTTAGGGTTTAGGGTTTAGGGTTTAGGGTTTAGGGTTTAGGGTGTTTTGTCTTCTTTTTCTCTTTTTTTTTTCCCTTTCTCTCGCGCCGTTTTGTCTCCTTTTGTCTCCTCTTGTTTCCTTTTGTCTCCTTTTGTCTCCTTTTCTGTCTCCTTTTGTCTCCTTTTGTCTCCTTTTGCCTCCTTTTCTGTCTCCTTTTGTCTCCTTCTGTCTCCTTTCGGTGTCTCCTTTTGTCTCTTTTTTTTGTCTTTTTTGTCTCCTTTTCTTTTTTTCTCTTTTATTGCATTTGTTTTTTTTTTGTGTGTGGAGATGAAATTCAGGTGAGGGGACAGCAGAAACAAAAGGAGACAAAAAAGGAGACAAAAAAGGAGACAAAAAAAAAGACAAAAAAGGAGACAGTGAAGGAGACAGTGAAGGAGACAGTGAAGGAGACAGTGAAGGAGACAGTAAAGGAGACAGAAAAGAAGAAAAAGAAAAAGAAAAAGAAAAAGAAAGAATAAATATAATACGCTGCAACACAGAACGATGTGTCTCCTTGCTGAGGCGCTGTCTCCTTTTAGAGCCAAACAATGTCCTCGCACAGCTACACCTCGCACAGGTAATATACACGTATATATATATATATATATATATATATATATATATATATATATATATAATATA